AGAGAGCGAATAAGAAAGGAAGCAGTAGCTTCCTTTTTTTTATTTCAACGTTCAGACGCCATATTTCACACGGTAGGCTTCCATTTTGGCTAACGCTTCAGTCTCACCTTTAGCCTCTAAATAATTCATCAAATCTTTCATGGTCACCAATGCATGTACAGGAATTTCCAATTCTTTTTGCACTTCTTGAATCGCAGACAGTTCACCTTGACCTTTTTCTTGACGGTCTAATGCCACCAACACACCTGCAATCTGCGCACCTGCATTTTTCAAAATGGTGACTACTTCACGGATCGCTGTGCCCGCAGTAATCACGTCATCAATAATCCAGACTTTTTTGCCTGCAACAGATGCACCAACCAAGACCCCGCCTTCACCATGATCTTTGGCTTCTTTACGGTTAAACCCCCAAGGCACACTTACCCCATGATTTTGTGACAAAGCCACTGCTGTTGCAGCAACAAAAGGAATCCCTTTGTACGCAGGACCAAAGACCACCTCAACATTGTTGCATTCTGTCAGTTTGGCTGCATAGCCAGACGCCAGTAATGACAAGGCTTCACCGTCATTAAGTAGACCGGCATTAAAAAAATAAGGACTCACACGACCCGATTTTAAAGTAAACTCACCAAATTTAAGCACGCCACGTGATAATGCGAGTTCGATAAAAGCTTGAGGGTTAAATGTCGCTTGCGTTGTCATGCGGTGCTCCGTATTTTCAAATTGAGGTAAGACTTGCGCATGATACCAAAGAGTAGCTATCCAAGTGATCAAAAAATTTTACGTGTGGTTTCAATTAACGTAAATGGTCTACGTTCTGCAGAAAAAAAAGGGATTTTTGATTGGATTGCCACATCAGATGCTGATGTGATTTGCATGCAAGAATCTCGCATCACCCACGAACAATGGACCGATAAATTTAAACCTGAAGGTTGGCATACTCACCTGTTCCCTGCTGAACGTCCAGGGTATGCTGGCACTGCTATTTATAGCCGTTTACCGTTTGTTTCAGTTACTGATGGGCTTGGTTTTGAATTGGCCGATTCTCAAGGCCGCTTTATTTCGGCTGAGTTTGACTTAGGCTTAGACCAAAACGTGCATATTTGTTCACTGTATTTACCATCGGGTTCTTCTGGTGAAGAAGCACAAGTACGTAAAGATCACTTCTTAGAAGAATACAAACAAATTTTGAAACAATGGCGCGATGAAAATAAATCCGTGATTGTCTGTGGTGACTACAACATCGTGCATAAACGCATCGACATTAAAAACTGGTCAGGCAATCAAAAAGCCTCAGGCTGCTTACCGCACGAACGCGCTTGGCTCGATCATATTTATGATGAACTTGGCTATGTCGATACTTTCCGTGAAGTACGTCCAGAAGCTGAGCTTTATTCGTGGTGGTCAAACCGTGGACAGGCCCGTGCGAAGAACGTGGGCTGGCGCATTGACTATCAGGCGTGCTCACCTGACTGGAAAGCCCGTACAGTCAATGCTTGGGTCTATAAAGAAACATGGTTTAGCGACCATGCACCTGTCATTATTGACTACAAAATCTAGAAAAATGTAAGTATTTAGCTCATATTAAGTGAACAAATGTTTACTGAATATGAGTTTTTAACCTACATTATCTGCCGTTTTTTGAGTCTTTTTCTGATCAATCAATCAGTGCATTATGTTTCCACGGCAAAGGGACGATGTCAGGATGACAGCACAAGGACAGGACGCCGTAGGATGAAATTAAAACGAACTATGGATATAGTTGGTTTTCAAGGATGTGACAATGGACGTTGTAATGAGACCCGCATGATCAGGATGATTAAATGCGGGTTTTCTCTTTTTTAGTCTCTGCCTTTTTAATGCTTCTTCTTTTTATATTCTATTTTTCTTTGATTTAATTCTAAAACGCTTTTATGACAAGACGATGACGCTATTGGCTTAAATCGTGACACTAGAGCTGCTCTGCTTTTTCCGTTACTCTAAACCCAGCTTAAAATTCAGAAGGGTTTTCCATGTTAAACGTGTATGGCATTAAAAATTGTAATTCAATGAAAAAAGCATTCGACCTACTGAATGAGTTAGGTTTAGCGTATGAGTTTCATGATTATAAAAAACAAGGCATTGATGCTACGACTGTCAAAACATGGCTCGATCAGATTGGGGCAGATGTGGTCCTGAATAAGAAAGGTACCACTTGGCGTAAGCTGACTGAAGCAGAACAAGACACTGCTTTAGCTTCAGAGCAAGGACTGATAGATGCTCTCACGACCCATAACAGTCTCATTAAGCGCCCCGTGATTGCAACACCCGATGGTTTTATTGTGGGTTTCAATGAAGATGCAATTCGTGCCTTGAAGGCATAACAAAAAATAAAAAAGCCGAGCAATTGCTCGGCTTTTTTTGTTGGATGGGATTAGTTCGCGCGAATCCAAGTTTGGTTACGGCCTAATGCAGCCACACCAATATAGCCACGAAGCTCTAGTTTTTTACCACCAGCAGCAATGTTGCCTTTTAATTTATAAGTTTTGCCCGTTTGCGGATCTAAAATTGATCCACCTTCATAGCTTGTACCACCCGCGTTTTTCAGACCATGTACAATCGTTAAACCTTTCAACGATTTGTTTTTGTATGGGCCTTCACACTTGGTACATGCATTTTCTTCACCTGGTGTCAAAATACCTTGAATACTCGCAGTTAAAGTTCCATTTTTTTGCTCAGTGAATTTAACCAAAGCTTTCGCTTGTTTAGTTTTGTCATCAATCGTTTTCCAAACAGTGCCATTCAGCGGATCTGCTGCATGAGCTAGAGCGGTTAATCCTAGTACGCTTAGTGCAAGTGCAATTTTTTTCATTTTTGTCATTTCCCTAGTCTAGTATAGACGACTATCATTATTAAAAAGTCACAACAATTTTTCAATTTTTCAATGTGACCAATTAGTGTAACCTTGTAAATTATGTTGGTAAATACACAAACTCAAGGTAAAACAAATAACAAAATGGAATAACTATGAAGATTGCCGATCCATGGAAACAAATTTTTACGGAGCAGTTGTTAAAAACCACGATTCGAACCCCAAGTCGCTTTAGTCTCCCACCCAGTAGTCAGCGTTTTCTTCTTGAACAAATGTGTCGTGCATTTCCGCTCAATAAATCGATTCGGATTCGCCCTCTACGTCTTGCAGGCCTGCGTGCGGAAGAATTAAAACCTGAAACTGAAGCCACTCAGCTCATTTTGCATATTCATGGTGGGGCTTTCTTTTTAGGTTCAATGAATACCCATCGCGCGTTTGTCTCAGACCTTGCAGCCAGTACACAAATGCAGGTCATTCACCTTGACTATCCGTTGTCACCCGAACACCCCTATCCTGAAGCCATTGATGCGCTGTTTGATGTTTATCTGCTGTTATTGGAGCAAGGTATACAAGCCAAAGATATTATTTTATCGGGGGATTCATGTGGTGCAAATTTAGCGCTAGCCTTAGCACTGCGCATTCGTGATGAGCAACGTCCTCAAGTCAGTGGACTAATTCTACTTTCGCCGTTTTTGGATTTAAGCTTAACCAGTGAGTCTATTCGCTATAACAGCAAGCTCGATGCACTGTTATCCATCGAAGCCCTTGAAACAGGCATCGACTATTATGTTCCAGAGCAAATTGACCCAGCGGACCCGCTCGTTTCACCTTTATTTGATGATTTAGCAGACCTCCCGCCGACCCTTGTACAAGTCGGTTCGAAAGAAATTCTCTTGGACGATGCCCAGCGGTTTAGAGATAAAGCGACCAAGGCCGGCGTAGACGTGACATTTAAACTATACACAGGCATGTGGCATAACTTTCAAATGTTTAATGCATGGTTTCCAGAAGCTAAAATGGCATTGGATGACATCGCAACGTTTGCTCAAGCGCTCGACCAAGACTAGACACATCCCGCATAAAAAAAGGTCAGCTTAACGCTGACCAAATGAGGAATCATGGGACTACAGTTATTATTATTAGATCGCTTGCACCTGCGCTAAAGCTGCTGCAATGGCTTTATCTTTCAGCTCTGGGCCCATATTCACGCCTTCAGCACGAATGATTTCAACATCGGTCACACCGGTAAAATTAAAGACGGTTTTTAAGAAGCCTTCTTGGAAGTCAACAGGACTATTTTCACCATAGACACCACCGCGACTACTGGCAATATAGGCTTTCTTGTCACCAGCCAAACCGACAGGGCCATTTTCCGTATATTTGAAAGTACGACCTGCAACACTAATGCGGTCAATCCATGCTTTTAAAGTCGAAGTAATCCCGAAGTTATACATCGCTGCACCAATCACCACAACGTCCGCATCTAAGTACTGTTGAATAATACGTTCGCCCAGAGCCGATTGTTCTGCATTTTGACCCATTAAAATTTCTGCGTCTAAATGTGGAATCGGTTGCGTTGCCAAATCCAAATATTCAACCTCAACTTGCGCATGCTTTTCGCTGAGTTGCGAAACAATGGCTTGGCTCAACTGACGAGATACAGAAGCATCCGCCATAATACTTGAATCGATGTGTAAAACTTTCATGGGATGTTCCAACATAATCTTTATTGAATAGCTGCATTTTAAAATAAGATTATCCTTAGAATAATAGACTTATTCAAAACACTATGTCCTAAAAATAGAATGGATAGCCAAAGTTTAGAGTATTTGCATCAGCAAGATCCGCATAATCCCTATGCCGTCGTCCTCTTAGATCTCGATCATTTTAAAAGCATCAATGACCAATTTGGACATCATATGGGAGATAACGTGCTCATCGCCGTGAGCCAAGAATTAAATGACCAGATACAAAAACATGACCTAGTGGGGCGCTTTGGCGGAGAGGAGTTTATCCTTATTTTAAAACATGCTTCACTCCCTAAAGCCTATCAAATTGCGGAACGTTGTCGCACTACCATCGAGGCTTTAGTCATTAGCAATGATGAAGGTCAATCTATCCGCGTTACAGCTAGTTTTGGTATTGCACAATCTCACCATGGACTCAGACCTCAGCAAGTTTTGAGTCAAGCAGACAAAGCACTCTATGCCGCTAAAGCCAGTGGACGTAATCAAATCAAATGCTATTTAGAAATCAATCCCGGTGAGATCAAAGATGGCGCTGCATGTGGTGACACACAGCACATCTCATCCAACTAAACTGCTTCTGCCCGTGCCGCGTCGACCCACTGTATGACCGCAGGATGCTGCATAATGTGTTGCATATACTGCTGGCTGCGTTCAGATACAGGCAGTGCATAACTCTTAAAGCGCATCACTACAGGAGCATAGAAGGCATCGGCTATAGAAAAATCACCAAATAGAAAGGGATGTTCATCTGCACGCTGTGCCCAAATTTGTTCAATTCGTTCGACATCTGCTCTTAATTCAGCATGCTGCGCCCACAGAGCTTGCCCCTCAGCTTTGCTGTACTGCGCTTGAATATTCATTGGGCATAATTGGCGTAGTGCCATAAAACTACTGTGCATCTCACCACTGATACTCCGTGCTTGTGCTCTCAAATGGGTCTGTTTAGGCCACAGGGCTAAATCGGGATTTTGCTCGGCCAAATATTCACAGACGGCTAAAGAATCCCAAATTTTAAATTCACCCACATCCAATACGGGCACTTTAGCATTGGCATGAATCTGAGACAGTTGCTGCTTAAAGGTCGGGTCTTCTACATCAAAGCGAATGAGGATTTCTTCAAAATCCAGATCAAATGCAGTCAAGACCAACCATGCTCGCATCGACCAACTGGAGTAATTTTTATTGGCAATATATAAACGTTGCATCCCCCGCTCTCCTTCAGGTTAAAAACGTTGTAATTGAGCTAAAAGTTCAGCCTCAGTAAATGCACCGGTTAAACGTAAACCACGAATTTCTTGTTGTGAGGCATCTAAGAATAAATAGGTCGGTGGTCCTAAAATATCCCACTGGTTTAAGAGCACTTGATGGGTTGCATCGTAATGACTCAAATCCAATTTAATCAAATAATATGGCGCAAGCGCTTGCTGTACCGTTGCCGATTTTAATATACGGTGTTCAATCGGCTGACAAGCAACACACCAATCCGCATAGACATCGATAATGATCTTTTGACCTTTTGGTGCTTGTGCCAAGAGCTGCTTAAACTCCGCTGCCGTCGCTGCCACATGCCAACGCGCAGATGCAGCCACTGGCGCTTCAAAGAAACGCTGACTCTGCTGATATTGGCTATAGGCAATGTACGTCCCGCCAATGACTAAAGCCACGATGTACAGCATACGCAACTGAGTTTTATGCCACATCAAACGATACAACACATAGATGATAAAGCTTAACCCTAGCAGCAGACTCAGTGCTTGCATCCATGTTTCAGAAAGCAAAGGACGCACAAAATACAGCGCCAAAGCCAACATGATGAAAGCAAAGAATACCCGAACCTGATTCATCCACAGCCCAGCACGAGGCAATACCTTAGCACCCAGTACGCTTGCCAATAACAATGGTGTCCCCATACCAAAGCCTAAGGTGAACAGCAAAATGGCCCCTTGCCACTGGCTTTGTGTCTGCGAAATAAACAGTAAAGCGCCTGCCAAAGGTGCCGTCATACACGGTCCAACCAACAGCGCAGANCAATGAGCTTTTGGCTAACTCTTCAGACCAAATTTGATCTTGCGCAGCCATCGCATCGGAAGCTGTTACGACGGGTTCAGCAGTGACTGTTGGGTTGATAGGCTCAAATTGCGGATTCGACTGCGCGGCTAAATCTAACAGTCGTTTTGATCCACCCGCTTGATCTTGTAGTCTGACCAAGCCATTGACATCAGTTTTAAACTCAATGCTTTGCGGTGGATAGCAAATACGATCTTTGGCACAGCCTTGCCAAGTCACCTTATAAGTTTGTGAAGCCTGTGTGTCTAAGTCAAATTGCACTTGTTGATAATAAACTTGGGTGTGTCCATAGTTTTCATCATACAGATCATGCGCAGGCGGCAGCTCAAGCTTAAGGGGCTGACCCGCCTGTTGTACTTCAAATTTGTGCTGATACAGATAATACTGTTCAGGGATATTCCAGTGCAGTTGAGCGGTATGCTCAGTCGTGGATTCCACTGTAAATGGAAAAGCATCTTCAGCTGAAAGGAGTGGAGTTTCTGCATGAACGTTTAGGATACTGGCCCAGATACACAGATTGATGATCAATACTGACAGCGCCAGATACCACGTTTTGCCGCTCATCCCCTGTTTCAGATGAAGATGCTTTTTCATAATATGTTCTTTTTTCTAATTAAAATAAGTATGAAACGCCAAGGCCTGAATAATAACTTTTATCTGCACCATTTAAGTCAACACCAACACTTGCGTCCAACTGCATCCGATTATTCACCGCATACATGACACCTGTACCGAGCGCATATTCATTGTCTTGACTTTCTGCTTTACGATAAACCAATTCAGAAAAACCGCTGAGTTTATCGGTAAATTGATATTCTAAAGTCGGAATTGCAGAAATGGCCCAATCACTATTTTGCACTTCATAACGCATGGTGATGGATGTCGACACGAGGTCGCTATAATCGTATGCCACCACAGATGACAGACTATAAATATCATCTTCATTGGTGAAACCATCATTCCCTGTGGCAATAATCGCTTCAGCCAGTACCGCCATACTCAAGCGTTCATCATCCAAGGGAATCGCCGCTTTCACACCGACACTGACATCACCCAAGCCGTCTGTTTCAGACTTGTGGCCGGCCACTTTCATTTGTTGCCAAGAGGGCCCAGCCCAACCCAATTGCAATTCGATGTTTTCAGCTAAACCTGTGCGCAATAACATATCTGCATTTAAGCTGGTGGTTTTGACTTTTTCACCATCAGCCGTGGTCGATTCAGCATAGTGCGCATTGGCCAAGCCCTGCTCCCAAGCCAACTGCCCCACAGGCGTAATCCCTGTCCCTATGCCCGAACCTGGGCGGTCAAAGGAAAAATCTGCAGCCATCGCATTCATACTGAACCCAGCGGCTACACATAAACCTAAATGTTTTAATTGCATCATGATGATCTCGCTGTTTAAGCTAATTCTTTTGTCATTTTTGCGCCATGCTGACGAAGCAACTCTAAGGTTTGCTTTTCTTCAGCCAATGCTTCGGCCCAATTAATTTCGTCAAATTCACAATCAAAGAATAAATCGCTAATTGAAGATAAAATAGTTAAGCCATCTTCATCTTTGGTGTTTGGATCAACTTTTTCATCCAATAAACGTTTGACCGCGGGCGCACATGCAGCACTTGCAGCATCCCAAAGTGGGCCATAAATTTCTTCTGTATCCCACAAATGCAAGTTTGCTTTGCCATGAATCAGTTGTTCTAAAATGTCTAAATGTACCGCTAGAGTCTGTTGTTTTTCTTGTTCTGACAGCGGTGCGCCTGCTTCATACGCTTCGCAAATCGCTTCCCACCATTTGAATAAGCCATCTGACCAGACAGAAATCACAGGTCCTTTTTCAGGATCGATAAAATTGAGACTTAACCCATCAGTCAATAGACGTTGAACTTGTTGAAGATCTAATTCTTCAAGTGCTTGCACGAAAGCTTGTTGTTGCGCGGTTAACATGGAGATGACGCTCTTCAATTCAGTTTATTCTATTATGCCGAATAAACGGGACATTTGTTATCCGTAATGTTGGATAAAAGTGAGTGCCCAGCATTAAAAAAGCCCCTGATTGAGGGGCTTTTTTTAAATTCGGTGAGGTTTAATCTTCCTCATCATCAACTAGGCCATCATCCTGATCTGCATATACAGGTTGGCCAGCACGTGGTTTATCATTTTTTTCAAAGGTATGTTCTAAACTACGTTTAAGGCGATCGATCGCGCCATGAATCGCAGTATCGACATTATGACCTTTATGATTTACAACCACGGGTTTTAAACCTGCTGGACGCGCTTCAATCATACATTGAATGTCGTCATCTCCGCCTTTATGGCTATTGGCATCACTTAGATGCACTGAAAAGTGGGTAATGCGCTCACTGTGACGTTGAAATTCTTGATTCAGCTCTTCGCGTATATAACTAATTAAACGGTCACTATTTTGAATGTTTTTATCTGTACGGATTTCTATGTTCATAAAATAACATCCTCTCTCTTTCTTTATTCGACTCTTTTTTTGTACGAAGATTTTTATCTCTTGGCACACTTGTAACTTACTGTTTTAACAGTATTCGACCATCTTCAATTGCTTTGGAATGTAACCTCCATCGATTGAATGATGAACACTTTTGAGTCTGCAGATCTGTGTCCTTCTCCTTTGAATATCGGGCCTAACTGAAAATTATGCAAGTGATATTTTTAAAAAAATATGAAAAGGATACTTATTGTGACAAGCCCTTACTTGCATGGCTAAAAACAGATGGATTTGATTCCATCTTCTAACTATTCACGTGACTTCATTGGCTAGAATGAACAAAAAAATCTCATGATTATGACAACTTCAATTACGGCAGGAATGACTGCAAACATCGATCATTCATTCTTTGCAAACATCCCCCAAATAAGTGCAAACCCTGTTCCATTCTAGGATTTTCCCGAGCTGTATCATGTCGATATTGCTAAATTTATTATTCAATCACCTAACATTTTTTCCAAAAAGGTCCATATCAAATTAAGTGTCATGCCTGAAAGGTAACATTAAACCATTTGGTAAAAAAAGTATAAAAAATGGCTCATTTTGATATCTATTTTCCATCACGTTCGTCAAATTTGGCTTTATTTTTGCTTAATAATCGGTATCCTTGTATCCGATTTTTTGAGTTGAGCTGCGTAAGCTCCTGTGTAAGGCGAAGGATGGCAATTTCAGATAACTGCTGTTTGACGATGCGTTGTTCCGTTTCAGGGTCGTTTTTTAGTCGATAGTTCAGTGCCGTTAAAATATCATTCACATTTAAACCTGAAGCCTTGATTAAGAAGATGTAGCCATATTTTTTTTCATAAGCGATGTTGGCGGTGATCAATGCCTGTTGAGTCTCTTTATTGCTTTGGAGTTGGGCCTGTTCACGTTCTGAAAAAGCTTGTTCGGTTGGGCTAAGTTCAGTTTTGGCTCGCTTCTCTCCAATCCTTGGATGCATATCTAGAGCAGATTGAACCTCGTCCCATGTCCATGTCTGGCTGAGTTGAGCTGCGTAATCAAGTACCTTTTGTATAGATGAAAAGGGGCGGGCTGCAATAATGGCTTGCCCCCAACTTTGAATAGGCACGCAGTGTTTTAATCGGTTTTCGAGTTCGGCAGGGGGGGATTGATTAAATTCGTTCAGATGCACTATTTTGACCTGATGTTTAAAAAGAATAGCTAAAACTTTGCAATATCAGTGCCAAATACAGACAAATTTACACCCCAAAATAGCTAAATAAGCGCCCAAAATGGTGATTTTTTCGGCTTTGCTGACCGTGCTCACAATGACTTTGAAAACAGCACATATTTCGAGCTTTCTCCTCGTTTAAGCTTAAGCGCAGTGACAGGGACTAAATTAGAAGCTGGTCCGATCAAAGATATTTTAATTGCAGGAACATGGGAAGCGAACAGCTCTAACTACCCAGGTGCAGACTTCAATAACTACCTCTATGGTATTGGTTTTGATCTTGCTATTCCTTATTTCCAATATGCTCAGCTTAACTTCTACAAAGCAGACAATGAAAAAGGGACTACTGATGACTACCAAATGACTGCTGCCTACGGTATCCCAGTTAAACTTGGTTCAGAAGATTTTCTTATTGACGGCTTCCTTGACTGGTCAACAGGTGAAAATGCAACTCATGCAAGTGAGTTAAACTGGACAACTCAATGGAAATGGAATGTAGGTAAACACATTTCTCCAGATACACGTCTTTATGTGGGTGTTGAGCACTCAGTTTGGAACAACAAATACGCCATCAAAGGTTTAGACCAAAATGACGTAAGTGCATTAATCAAATACCACTTCTAATTCACTTTTGTGAATATCCAAAAGCAAGACTTCTGTCTTGCTTTTTTTTATGTAAAAGCAGCATGATAACCCTCCCAACGCATACAACCTTGCTTTCATGTCTTTTCAGCCAGAGCATGGTTTTTGCGTGATGCTGAGTCTAAATCCAGTCAATTTAATTTAAAGCAACTGCCACCCCCTAAACAGTCAGCAACACTGGCAGGTAAATATGTGCAGTATGCAGGCTTTGGGCAGTGGAATCAGATTAAGGTAAAACCGCTTAAGAATGTATATCAAATTGAATTTAATGGTCTTTATATGGGACTACGCAGTCTCATCTATGGACCCAATATTGGCGAATTTGAAACCACCATGCCGCTCAATCGAACTCAAGCGCAATATCAGGTCGATGACTGTAAAATTAATTTAAAGTTCGCCTTCGATCCCAAAATGGGACACACCATCCGCGTCAGCGAAACCAATACCATGAGCTGTGGTTTTGGGCACAATGTTTCGGCAGACGGTTTATTTCTAAAAGTAGACTAAGATCGCGATACAATATTCAATATTTTCATCATTATCCCCCTCTCCCTTTGGAAGAGGGGGATAATAAAAAAGCTTAAATCGCTACCAATTCTCGAATACCTTTTGCAGGCATTTCACAGCCTGCCCCTTGCGCAATCACTTGCCCACGGGCCATGACGGTATATGCATCGGCCAGCTCCTCGGCAAAATCATAAAACTGCTCGACCAAAACCACCGCCATGTCGCCGCCATCCGCCAGTTTACGAATCACTCGGCCAATGTCTTTGATAATAGAAGGTTGAATGCCTTCTGTAGGCTCATCCAAAATTAACACCCGAGGCTCTGATGCTAGGGCACGCGCAATGGCCAGCTGCTGCTGCTGCCCCCCTGATAAATCCCCGCCTCGGCGGTGTTTCATTTCATTTAATATGGGGAATATTTCATACAAATGCTCAGGTACTTTTCGGGTTTTCGCCCCCTTAAACTTGGCCATGCCAATCAGGATATTTTCTTCGACAGTTAAGGTTGAAAAAATATCACGCCCTTGCGGCACATAAGCCAAACCTACATGCACGCGTTGCTCGGGACTCATTTTCGAAATGTCCTTGCCATCAAGTAAAATCTGTCCGGACTTGATCGGTAAAATCCCCATTAAACATTTCAGTAAAGTGGTTTTCCCTACGCCATTACGCCCCAGCACCACGGAGCACTCTCCCACAGGGGCCTGAAATGAAACATCTCTTAAAATATGACTGCCACCGTAAAACTGATTGACGTCTTTGACTTCTAACATGGTCGGCTCCTTAACGTCCTAAATATTTCTCAATCACATCTTCATTGGCCTGTACCTCAGCCAATGTACCTTCGGCTAAGATCGCCCCTTGAGCCAGTACCGTCACTTTTTCACTGATGGTGTCGATAAAGCTCATATCATGTTCAACCACCACCAAGGTGTGATTTTTCTTCAACTCTAAACATAGCTCAGCCGTTCGTTCCGTTTCGGCATCGGTCATACCGGCCACAGGTTCATCAAGTAGAATCAGCTTAGGACGTTGCATAAGCAACATGCCGATTTCCAACCATTGCTTTTGTCCATGTGACAACAGCCCCGCAGGTTTATGTACCCACTCTTCTAGCCGAATTTGCGCCAAAGACTCATCCAAAGCCAACTGCGCATCTGGATCCAGTTTACTGAAGAAGCTTTTTTTGACACGCTTATCTTTTGGTGCCGCGAGTAGCAAGTTTTCCATCACTGTAAAATTTTCAAATACCGTTGGTTTTTGAAATTTACGACCAATGCCTGCTTCTGCAATTTGCTCCGTACTCATCTTGGCCAAATCATAGTTTTGCCCAAAAAAGGCGGAGCCTTCGGTCGGTCGGGTTTTGCCCGTAATCACATCCATTAGTGTGGTTTTACCTGCCCCATTGGGCCCAATGATGCAGCGTAGCTCCCCTTCTTGGATGTATAGCGATAAATCATTTAAGGCACGAAAAGCATCAAACCAAACACTAACTTTTTCCAAGTACAGTGCAATCCCATGACTGAAGTCGGCGCCTTGTTCTTTGGGACGTCCATAGCCGTCTGAAGCATGGCCACCATGAGGTTGTATTAGCTCACTCATTCGCTACGCTCCTTTTTAAAACGGTCAAACAGACCAATGACACCTTTGGGTAAGAAAATGGTGACCACAATAAATAAAGCACCCAAGATCAATAACCATGCTTCTGGATAAGCCACGGTGAAATAGGTTTTCACGCCATTAATTAACCCTGCACCCAAAATTGGGCCAATCAAAGTACCACGCCCACCCGCAGCCACCCACACCGCCATTTCAATCGAATTAACGGGGTTCATTTCACTCGGGTTAATAATGCCAGCCTGAGGCACATACAATGCTCCTGCAATACCTGCAATCACTGCGGACAGCACCCATGCAGAAAGCTTGTACCACAGCGTACGATAGCCCAAATACTGCAAGCGGTTTTCACTGTCCCGAATCGCCCCCAGCACACGACCGTAGGGTTTATTCATGAGATGACGCAACCCCACGAAGCACAGCATCAACACCAAAGCCGTTAGAGAACATAAGGTGGCACGCATGGGCGCAGACGTGATGTCCATGCCTAAAATAGTCTTAAAGCCAGTAAATCCATTGTTTCCGCCAAAACCTGTTTCATTGCGGAAAAATAACAGTGCCGCAGCAAATGTCATGGCCTGCGTAATAATCGAGAAATACACGCCTTTAATTTTGGAGCGAAAGGCAAAGAAACCAAAGATGAAGGCCACCATACCAGGCACCAACACCACCAAGGCCAAAGCCCATAAGAAATGATTGCTACCCACCCAATACCACGGTAGTTCAGTCCAGCTTAAAAAACGCATAAAGTCAGGCAGACTGTCACCCGCTGTCTGGCGCATCAGATACATACCAAATGCGTAGCCACCAAGGGCAAAGTACAAGCCATGGCCTAGGCTTAAAATGCCTGCATAACCCCAAACCAAGTCCAACGCCAAAGCCACCAATGCCAAACACATGATTTTGCCAATCAAGGTGACCCAATACGCAGAGAGATGAAAGGCTGAATCGACTGGTAGTAAATGTAACCAAGGCAGGATCAACATCACCGCAAAGCAGACCGCAATAGCGAGCGCACTATAAGGTTTATCGGAAAATAAAGAAGTGATTTTCATGCGCTTACTCCACAAAACGGCCTTTGATGGCAAACAAACCTTGTGGACGTTTTTGAATAAACAAAATCACAAGAACCAGTAGAATAATTTTTGCAAGAACAGCCCCCATCCCAATTTCAAGGACCGTACCGCTGATCCCTAAACCAAGCGCCGCCAGTACAGCTCCCCAAACTTGTCCTACACCACCCACCACAACGACCAAGAAAGCATCGATAATATAGTTCTGACCCAAATCAGGCCCAACATTGCCCACTTGCGCTAAGGCACAGCCCGCTAGACCAGCTAGGCCTGAACCCAGCCCAAAGGCCAACATATCGATACGGCTAGAGCGAATACCGACAGCACGTGCCATTTGACGGTTTTGTGTCACTGCACGAACAAACAGACCAAAGCGAGTTTTATTGAGCAGGTAAACCAACAGCAGTAGCACCGCAACCGTAAACACAATAATGGCAATCCGGTTATACGGCAGCATCAAACTTGGACTCAGCGCAATACCGCCCGATAACCAAGAAATATTCGAGACTTCGACATTTTGTGCGCCAAAAATCATCCGCACCAATTGCATCAAAATCAGACTGACGCCAAAAGTCGCCAACAACGTTTCCAGCTGACGGCCGTACAGTGGACGAATCACCGTCCGTTCAATCAACATGCCAATTAAGGCGCTCACCAAAAAGGCTGCAGGAATGGCAGCAATCAAATACCAATCGACATAGCTACCCAAGTAGGTCTTAAACAGGCTTTGCACCACATAGGTGGTATAGGCCCCAATCATAATCAACTCACCATGCGCCATATTAATCACACCAAGCAGGCCATAAGTGATGGCCAAACCGAGTGCTGCTAGCAGTAAAATACTGGCCGTACTGAAACCTGAAAACACATGCCCTGCCCATTCACTGGCCTGAATCCGTGTTTTAATCTGACTTTTGGCATCCACCAAAACAGCTTTGAGTTCTGGGTTCAAATTTGATTGAGTTAAAGCTTGCTCAACCAGTGCCAGCACCTCGGGACGGTTGGAATCGGTAAGGACTTTAGCAGCCTGAATTTGGACTAAAACATCTGGACTTTCAAAGTCGAGGCGTGCTTTAAGCTGTGCCAAGCGCTGTTTAACTTTATTATTTTGTTCATGCAGATAGAGCTGATTAATCTGCGCAACATTCAGTTCAGACAGATTATTTTCTAAAATATCAATGGCTGCTAAACGTTGGGCAGATTCTTCAGATTTTAATTTGGCCTGTGCCTGTCCAAAGTTTAAGGCTTTACGTAAAGTGTTGACCAAAGTCACCTGAGACAAATCCCCCGGCCAAGTTTCAATCACTTGCTCATCGGGATAACGCAATAATTTTTCATTATTTTTTAAAATATACGTCGTGCCTGCACTGTCCCGATACAGCTCATCACTGTCGATCAGTGCCACCAGTCGATCAAATTCTTCAATCGTCCCCGGCCATTGGTTGAGCATGGCACGGCGCTCAGCAAACTCAGCTTTGACAAAACGTTGAATCGTATCATTCGATGCTGATACGCTTTGGGTCTGAGCAGAAAGTTGAGCCTCTTCAGCCCAAATACTGCTACTCACGAGCTGTGCCATTGCGCACAGCAGTGCGGCACAAAAAAATTTAAGATTCATAATATGACTTCCTTAAGCTTGCTTAAAACATCCCGCATCGGGATGTGCTTACTGAAAAGCCCACAGCGATCGCAGCAGGCTCAACGCTTAAGAAAATTATTTAGGAATGTACGGACTCCAAGGTTCCGCCTTAATCACATTTGGTGTTTTATAGACCACGTCAAACTGACCATCACCACGAATTTCACCAATCATCACAGGTTTTTGTAGATGATGATTTTCAGCATCCATTTTTAAGGTATAGCCTGATGGTGCTTTGAACTCTTGACCTGCCATCGCAACACGAACTTTATCAACATCGGTGCTGCCTGCTTTTTCAACCGCTTGCTTCCACATATTGATGCCCACATAGGTGGCTTCCATCGGGTCATTGGTCACGATTTTGTCAGCATTCGGCAGCTTATACTGCACCGCATACTGCTTCATTTTAT